AGCACTCCACCTATGTTAAACAACATTTGCAAATCTCGGCACATGAGGGCGGGGCGTGGCGAGGCGTGGCGGGGCAGGGAGGCGCGGAGCGGTGGCCAGTGCGAAGATACGCGGCACCGGCCGCCGCCGCCGCGTTGCGTCACTCCTATCCTTCGCGGCCGAGGGCGTGCACCAGATGATGGGGATAACAAGGCGCGCCATCACGGTTACGAGGCCTAACGAGGACCGCGGACGGAGCGAGCGGGAGAGGGGGGTGGGGTGACGGAACGAGGACCGGCCCGGGGGAAGGGGCGGGGTCACAACGCTAAAGCTGCTGCAGCCGGCTCGGTCTCGTTAGCCGCTGACGCGTCGCGAGGTGGCTGCGTCTTCACACCCACAAGACACGTTTCTCACGCACGTTCGAAAGGGCTGAAGGACGTGTACGCGTGTAGGTTTGTTGCCCCGCGCGTATTAAACTGCTGTTACGAGCAAGCGTTTTCGGAATCGGACCGCTTCACTCGGCCCCGTGTCGTTGACCGATCATCGACCGCCGGACAGGCAGAAAAGGCCGGAGCGGGGGTGGAGGGTTTATAGAGGTACTCCATTGACGAGCCTCTCGGTAAACAACTCGCGCGACGCTGTCGTGTAAATCGGCGTTAACGATTCTTCAAATTATGAGCACGCGTGCTGTAGCTTGTAAAGGATAATTTCTTTCATCGAGAATCACGTATGTATTGCATGAATCAACGTATGTATTCATAGCGCTAAAGGTAGAGCACTAGCAAAACATTTTCACGAATGGTTTATCAAAAGTCGGCAATCTGCATCGCAAAGGGACGATCAAGATTTCAGTTTAGGTTGTGGCTCGTAATACTTACCAAGCAATGAAACACCAATGTTGTAAATACCAGCTTTCATAATTCAATATGAATATCGTAATTTAGGTCAATTTTCGGCGTTGTAAATACTCGCAACAAGACAGGAGAAAAAAATAATAATTTGAATGTGGCATTCACTTCAATAGCCATGCCCAGCATTGTTTGCTAATAGCTATTTTTGTCTTCCTGCAGCTCTTACAATAATATCTCGCAATTAAAGAAAGTTCTTCGCTTAGCTTCGGATACACAGCACAGGAGCTTGGCGCGTGAGCATGCCCTCCCGTGACGTGTTCGCATCCCGGTCGCACAGAGGGCGATCTCCTCTCTCCCCCCCTGTCTGTCTCCCGAGCAGTCGCAGTCGGCCGGCCGTTGCGGAGAGGACACGCCGCCCCCGTGTGCGCAGGCTCACTAGCGCGGCGGCGAGGGCGGCGAGGACGGCGAGGACAGCGACGAGGACGGACGGCGACGGCACCATGTCGGACAGCGAAGAGAGCTCCGGGGATGACTGGCCCGTGACGGGGGCGTGGCTGGAGGACATGCTGGCCACGTACCACGCGCGCGCGGCGGGCCAGCCGCCCCAGGAGCCGGAGCGCCCCGGCGCCAGCGCGCCCGTGCGCGTGCGGGAGTTCACCGTGCGCCCGGGATGCGACGCGGGCGAGAGCGTGCTCTCCGACATCCTCGCCGTGTCCGTGTCCTACTCGCTGCTGGAGGGCGGCGGGGGCGGAGGCGGAGAGGAGCAGGAAGCGCGCCACCTCGACCTCATCATGAAGCTCCTGCCCCACGACCCCTTCAGCCGCTACTTCGTTACCGAGGCGCAGTTCGACCTCCGCGAGATCAAGTTTTACACTCAGGTAGGTGCTGGGCCCCACTCCTCCCACAAACGCTCAGATGCACTTTCTTTAGTCAAAAGCATCAAAGCCCAAATAGTAACTTACCTCAATAAACGTGCGATTAGAACACTCAATTCTCTACTCTTTTTATTAGTAGAACGTTTCTTGAAGCGGGATTCAATTTTCGTTTTTTTTATCGACTCGTAAATTATGAAACATGATTTATTCACGACTCGCGTAGTAAATGCACAAAAATAATTTCAAGAGATTCCATGATGTGCAGAGGGTTTCAGGTCATTTTGCATTAGAGAATAATTCTATCTCCTGGGTCCCGTCCTAGTTTCTCCGCTCCAAAACCAGCCCTCCGTCTATCCCCGGGGACTCATCCTCCGCCCTCTCTCCGCGCTAACCCCACACAGACGGAGTCGCTTTTTGAAGTCCCTCCCCGGGGCCCCATCCCACAGCGTCCGCCGTGTGTGGGCAGGTGGTGCCGGAGCTGGAGGCGTTCCAGCGGCGGCAGCTGGCGGCGGGGGCGGCGCCGCTGCCGCTGCCCATCCCGCGCTGCTTCCACGCGCGCTACGCGGCGGGCGGCTGCGTCCCGGAGGGCGACGGCGAGGGCGGCGGGGGCGACGGCGACGCCAGCCCCACGCCCTGCGAGTCCGTGCTGGTGCTGGAGAACCTCAAGACGCGCGGCTTCCGCGGCGCTGACTTCTCGCGGGGGCTCAGCCTGCGCCAGGCGGCCGCGGCGCTCGACGCCGTCGCGCGCCTGCACGCGCTCTCGCTCGCGCTCAAGGTGCGACCAACCCGCCACGCCCCCCACTGACTAATCACAAGAAGCGCCCTCGTTACACTTGCTAGTAACGCAATCAATATGCGCGTGGAAAGAAAATGAAACCATTGCAATTTTAAAATTAATATTAAAATACGTTTGATTAGAACTATTAACAATGTTGTTAAAATGATTCGGGGTATCCCATCCGGGGGCGAATCTATTATTCATTAACTGTAATATTCATGTCCCAATTTTCAAATTATTTGAAAAATAAAGTCCCAAGAGCATATGGTATTATTTCATCCATGTCAGAATCTTCCGTTCAATTGTTTCGCTTACCGTAAACGTATTCACCAAAATTGTTTCGTTTTTCCCAATCCGCCCCATGACTCACGACGTATTTCGTCCTACGCGGTAATTCAGTCGGAAATTCGTTGAAAGTGTTACAATACCCTCTTTTGTAACATGCGACATGTAATTCAATCTCGCACACGATTGCTTCCTCGACTCCAATCGACCGCAATTGCACGTGTCCACGCCAGAGCCTGGGTGCAGATACTTTCAAACAGGTGTATTAACATTAGAAAATAGTCTATATTTTGAGTTATTGAAAATGTAATGCAAAGCAGCAAAGCTTAATTTGTTCTTTAAAGAAATACAGTTCAAAGCGCGATTTCGCTACACGTCAATATTAATTACACTTTGCAGAATTGAAAAAACGCCCTTGGCTTTGCGCGCAGGCCACTGGGCTTGCTTTCCCCTGTGCCCTGACCTTCCCGTTTAACGGCCGGCTCTGCTGTTGATTGGCAACGTTCTCTCCCTGGACAAAGAAGCCTAAAACTGCGCAACCCTCCGCTGCGCCGGTCCCCGGAGCGCCTTCACAGCCTTTGCGAGCACGGCCTCATTAACTTAACGATCCACAAAACCGCCATCAAAGCGAAAATTTGCCATTCAGATAGGTGACAGTTAAACAGCACTCTAGGAAATCCTTAAAAGCGTCTCCCTCGTCAACAAATTAAGTCACCCCCCTAATTTTGAAGAAGATCGCGCTACGATTGCTTCCTCGACTCCATTCGACCGCAATTGCACGTGTCCACGCCAGAGCCTGGTGGCAGATACTTTCAAACAGGTGTATTACATTAGAAAATAGTCATATTTTGAGTTATTGAAAATGTAATGCAAAGCAGCAAAGCTTAATTGTTCTTATAAGAAATACAGTTCAAACGCGATTCGCTACACTCAATATTATTACACTTTGCAGAATGAAAACGCCCTTTGCTTGCGCGCAGGCCAGCTGGGCTTGCTTTCCCCTGTGCCCTGACTTCCACGTTTAACGGCCGGCTCTGCTGTTTGATGGCAACGTTTCTCTCCTGGACAAAGAAGCCTAAAAGCTGCGTAACCCTCCGCTGCGCCGGTCCCCGGAGCCCTTCACCGCCTTTGCAGCACCCCTCATAAACTAACGATCCACAAAACGCATCAAAGCGAAAATTTGCCATTCAGATAGTGACCAGTTTAAACAGCACTCTAGAAAATCCTTAAAAGCTCTCCCTCTCAACAAATTAAGTCACCCCCCTAATTTGAAAAGATCGCGCGTGTCCATTTTCAGATCATGTTTAAAACGAACACTATGACTTACTCATGTGTAGAAGTAGATACTAAACATGCGAATGGGGAAGAACTGCCCTTCCAGAATAAGACATTAGA